TTTTGAGAGACCACTTGATGACCCATGTAGAGACTTTAGCGATCTACGGGTGAGATGTCCGCGACTGAGCGCTTGAATGCACGTAGCAGCTTCGATCTCCTCGAGGTTGTGGTCAAATGTGGTAAAGTATTGCCTCCAGAAGCTCTGAATGGTGCTAGCAGCGATCTGTTGGACAATCAAGATTTCTTCATCGACTGCAGCCTGATGAATTGCTGCTCTCCTTGCCTCGTAGTCACGGAAAACCTGCTGAATAGTGCGAGCTGCGATACTACGAACACCCTCGTCCACTGCTCGATGGGTATTTTGACGGTGGACGCGAAAGGATCTTTGAATTGTAATAGCAGCGGTATACACTCCAGCCTTGGTGCACTCGGTTAGTAGACGACTCTGACGACCACGTACAAGAGCCTGGATCTTGATCGCGCTAAGATCTTCCAAAAAGTCCTGTTCCAGCTCCATCTACGACGAAATATAGCAGAGTTGGTTAGAATATTGAGTCAGGAACCGGGAATTCGAGTAACTACTTACTGCTTGATTCAGACTGAGGATAAAATGTCTGTGCTCAATGTAAGCTCGGCTCAAATCACTTGCGTTCTTAAGTGCAATACTTTGACGGACGGCAAAGCTCTTGACGCACGCCTGGATTCGAGTGGCCGCAGCATTCAGGATTGTACCTTCGGCGATGTTGCGGTTTGTGCGTGGAGTTGCGGTAATTGAGAGCTGCTGGGGAGTGTGTGGTTGTTCCGCAACATTATAAGTTGAACGCGACGTTGTGGGTCGACCGTCTTGAAAGCTGCGAGTTGATCGCGGAGTTAGTTTTGCTGAGCGTGGTGAAGACTCTTTCCAATCTTCATCGTCATCATAGACGTCACTACGTGCACTTTGTTTTTCTCGTGCTTTCGTGGACATCTCGACTTCATTCGGGTCGATCAAAGATATGGATGAAACAGTTGAACTTCGTCGAGGTGGCTCTGGTTCTGACAGACGACTAAGGTTTAAGTGGGGTACGGAGACTGCGGGGTTTAGAGGAGGGGGCTCCGGAGGTCTCTGGTTAAGCAGCGTTTGGCTCGATCCCACCGACTTGACAGCAGCTCCAAGTACAACGTCAGCGATGGAAAAAGGTCGACGCTGAGGAACAGGAGATGGCTTCGCGCCTTCATCTTCGTCTTGGCTTTCGACTGCATTGGTAAGAGCTCGTCGCCATAATCGCTGGATAAGACAAGCTGCCATGTCCTCCACCTCTTCTTTCTGAAGCTCCAGCTGCAGTCTCTCTTCATCAAGTATCCTCTTCTCCATTTGTACTTTAAGATACTGTCGCACCTGCCGCTGGATCAAAGAAGCCGAGGCGTTTTCAAGCTTACCCTAAGCAAATAAAACGTGAGTAAACCACAGACCCATTATTACAGCAGTTGTGTTACCTGTTTCAGTTGCTTGACTTCTGTACGACAGCGTTGACCTCGAAAGAATGTTTGTAGCCGACAACATGCAGCTTCTCGGAATAATAACAACTGGGCATCGCGCGCTGCTATTTCAGATTCAAAAACATGAACATCTTCTCGAAGCTCCAGTCCATCGTCTTCATCCTTGTGTTTTGTCAGTGTCGTTGGTTTCATCTCGTTCGACTGGGTGGCATGTGACTCAACCTCGCGTAAGTTATCGCTTGAATCCCGTCTGGCTTGTTCAATTTGATCGCGAAGTTTCAAAGTAGCACTTCGTGGAGTTGATACTTTTGATCCCCGTTCATTGGCAGGATCAACTCGATCTTTTGCCGTTGGGATACGAATACCCACCCCATCTAGGTCTTCCTTAATGCTATCAGCAAGTTTTTTCATTCGACGAAGGTATTCCATGTGGCAAACACGTTGAGCTGGTAGATCCACATCGGTGTCATCGTCTCCGTTGTAACCAGTCTGAGTTACACTTGGAGATCTCTCATCAAGAGTACTAACATCACTGCCATTGGCTTCCCTGATATCCAATGATCTTTGAGAGCGACTATCATCCAAACCTCTGCGATGCCTTGATCCAACTGTAGCACTAGAGCGTTGTTTCCTCGAACTAATAGGCCGTACACGGTGCTTCTCCCGTTGATTGTTGCCTGTATAATTGTCGAAATCATCGCCACTCCCATCGTCATTTATCACACCATAGTCTTCGTCAGTTCCAATGAAATCGTCGTCTTGAGCTCCAAAGTACAGTTGTCCCTGTATTTTCTGTTGACGTTGTGTCTGATTCTTTCGTGTCGCTGCGTTGGCGCTTTGGGGTCGTCGAGTTTTCCGTTCTGGATTCGCAGGAGGTTGAAAATCATTGAGATCATGTTCCTTCTCCAATTTTTTCCAGTGTAATTCAAATGCATCCTCTGAATCACGAGACCCTCGTCGGTTGTTCGTACGTACTGGTTTAGCAGACATGGGTCGCTGTCGAATCGTTGCTGAAGCTGGACGCAGAGGTTTCCCACTTCCAGTGGCTGAATTCCCGTAGCGAAGTCCTGCTGTGGATGGTTTAGTGGCTTTATAGCAGTGAGAAGCAACCGTAGAGCTATATGACACATCTCTATCACCCTCGTTCATGCTTCTTGACGCATGTGCAGATCTTGGACGACTAACCGGACGTCTTCCATTATTTACTGTAGTCGGAATCCCGTTCTGTCGGATATTCGCAGTTTGCTGTTTCTTCTTGGCATCCAGGAAAATCTTCTTGAAAGATTCGCACAGTGCTTCGTTGGTCTCTTTGTATTTCCACACCAGCTGCAGAGCTTTCTTGTACCATTGCAAACTCGCTTCACCTCGTCCATTAAATTCCAGCTCCACTGCCAAGTTGTGGTACGCTACAGCGAGTGAGATAATCTTCTCTTCACGAGTCTTCGGATCTAATGCATCCTGATCTCTATCGTCTTCGTCTCGAGCCCCATCTTCGAGACTCACGAGCTCTTCTTGGGTATGGAAAATCGCAGCTTGTGCGTGTTCCAGTGCCAGATCGTGTCGGCCAAGTTGAGACTGAATCGCGCATAAGTTGAGGTGGGTAATGGATAGATTTTTCACGTGGGCTGACCCAGATCCGATCTGAGCAGCCTCTTTCAGATATTTTAGCGCAGATTTCAACTTGCCTAGCTTCCGATAGCAACAGCCAATGTTGTTAAATGTTAGAATCTGCAAAGCCTGGCATCGCTTAAAGTTTCCCGGTGCCACGATAGCCTCAGCCTTCCGTAACATAGCTAAACACTGATCAAATTGTCCTTGTGCGAGGTACTGCATGGCAACGGAATTGTAACTTAACATGACCTCGTTCAGTGCTTTATAAACCGCTGAACTATCCACACCGAACATGCGTCGCTTTAGCCACAAACTTTGCTCTAGGCATCCCAGGGCCTCCAAATCCATTTTTTTCTGCTTCAAACATGCCACCGTCGAGTTCAACATCTCCAATAAACTCTGATCACTATCGTGGTTTGACTTGCGGTCCAGATGAGCTCGAAGTTTACTTGGGGAGAAGTTTAATTCAGAAAAATCTCGAGAAGTCTTGTGCGATGGATTTCTCTTCGCTGAACGTGGTCGTG